TTAACTAGCATGCAATAATGATTCTCCGTGTTTATGTAAAATGAAATTGATATTTCCACAAAATGGGTAATTATTATATTATTTTTAAAGAGGTAGATATATTTTATAGATATATTTTTTCTATTTTATCCTAAATATAAATTAATAAAAAAAATAAAATACAATACAAAATATAATTATCTCGGTAAAAGTAAATATCAAAATAATATTTTTTTATTTATATTTTCTTATAGATTAAATTTAAAAATGCCCGGTCCACTTTCTAGTTTCTGGGTAGGGTTTAAGCTTAAATTTCCGGTTCTCGGTTAACAATCCTTTTCTCATGTTGCTCTACTTCGAGCTTCACAATCACAGTTCACAGGTCAGGTAACCAACATAACACTCTCTCATTCACATGTAGTTTTTCAAATTGCGATCAATATCTTCTGAACCCTAACCTTCCATTGGAGTAAAATCATTTATTCTGAATGCAATTTTGTGTTGCAACGCTAGATCCATCAAACTTATATATGCTTCCAATTTATTCAATCAAAACCTTGAATCATCGTGGTAATAAATTTAGCTTCATTATTTTTATGGATGTTTGAAGATTATTTGTTATTATACTTGGTAATGGTGTTTATCTGAAACTCTCAGTCTTACAAAATTATGTTGGTGTTTGATATCATGCGAATTTTTTTTTACAGATTCAGAACACCACAAAGTGATATCAGTGTATATACTAATGTAAATTTCCCTCCCAAAAGTAAGGGATGTAGGCAGTGCATAATCGAAAATCAGAATTCAAAATTTGAAATTTCAAACTAAAGATCTACACTTCACTAAGAATTTGCCACAAGTATTTGAGATATCGTATTGGTAGGAAGCAGAGCCCAGCAAATCAGAAAAAAGACAAAACGTTAGTTTGATTCCGACATTCAGAAGTTGGGAAATATGGCGTGGAGGCTTTTGACAGCACGGCCTCTCACTAAATTTAACTTCAACAACAATCTCTCCTCAAATTCTTGGCTTCTCACACCCCTCATTTTCTTCTCCAATTCCTTATTCCCCAAAACAAGGTACTTCTGTCTCTCCATCCTGAGCTCTATATCAGTAATTTCAAAGTGTTTCACATTTCTTGGAATAGTCATATTTGAATACTGCACAGCACAAAATTATTGCATGTATTATCTATTTTACTTGTGTTTTCACCAACTTAACTAAGATGGGAGTGCTAGAAAGACAAGCCTCAGATTTATAGTAAAAATAAAATAAAATTGGAAGGCAATAATATTTCACTGTACTACTAATCATTTTGAAGGTTTTCTTTTTTGGTTTCTTTGGTTTAGCTTGTAATCTTGTATGTGAAGCAAAAGATTTAGAAAAAGAAGTTTGCTTCATTATTGACTTACACTGTTGTAGCTATGTTATATGCAAGGTATGTGGCCAGGAATCTATTATTGGTCACCTTTATTACATGAAAGCATCTCCTTTCTTGGGGAACATAAGCTTTCACTCAAATTCATTTCTAAAGTATAACGACAAGGTTGTAGAGCAACAACATCAGGATTCTGAAAAGGCCCCATGTGCTAGTGGAGATGGCAATGCCAAAGTAAAGAGGAAAAAACTAAAGGGGAAAAGAGCAGTTGTAAGATGGCTGAAGTTTTTTAGATTTAAGAAGAAGAAAGAGTATGAAAGGATGACAGCTGAAGGAAAAATTTTATATAAATTGTTAAAGGTAAGTTCTATTTGTTTTATTTTAATTTACATATATTGATCCTTTCTATTGTTTCCAAATAGTATGATTATGCCGAGTCTTTCCTTTTGCACCATTGCCATCCTGTGCATGCTATATCTAGATACATTTGTGTTTCTATTTTGTATTTTGCATACTACACATGGCTTATATTTACTCTTTAGCGACAAGAACTGGGATCCTCACACTTTGTAACTGTGATCTGTAGACTAATGTTAAAGGTATGAATTTCTTAAAATAGTAAAGCTCTTGATGAAAATAAATCTATTGTTGTAATGTTGGGAAGTTAGTCATGCAATTTCTTGATTATGTATGCAAAAGCCTGTTGCTTAAGAATTCAACCAGAATACTAGAAGCCTTTCAAGCAATATTTTCTGCAAAGAATTTTGAGATAGAACTGCTTAAAATTATTGAACAATTGTTGGTGTCAGTAAAAGCCTGTCAAGAATTCTTGCTATTTCTTAGATTCATGGACCCAATTCAATTCAACAGGATTTTTCATTCATATTTTTTTCCATCAAGAGAGTTTTATAAAACTCTTGGACTCCCGAATTTGGAGTAATGTTGGGAACTTAGTCATGCAATTTCTTGATTATGTATGCAAAAGCCTGTTGCTTAAGAATTCAACCTGAATACTAGAAGCCTTTCAAGCAATATTTTCTGCAAAGAATTTTGAGATAGAACTGCTTAAAATTATTGAACAATTGTTGTTGTCAGTAAAAACACTAATAAATTTATGGATCTCTGTATTCAATATTTGAATCTGGCCTGCACTATACATATTCAAGTTCAAATCTTAATACACAATTTCAGTTTGATAAAAATGATTAAGACACATTAAATCTTTCAGTTTTGGACAATGAACCGCAGAATTATTTTAGTGCATTCATTTTTATAATATGCATAACAAATTGTTATCTAATACTTCAAGTTAATCTTCTTTTTTTTTTTTTCTTAATAATTTGCAAAAAGAGATTGTCAAATTATGTTTGTTAAATGACAGTGTTTGAAGATATCAAGCTTTTTAAAGGCGATATTATTAAGTACTGGACTAGTAAATGAGGTAAAAAATCTTTAAGTATCAATCTCTTCCCTATATCATATGATTCAGACAGATATCTTTTACAGATAATTCTCTCCCCCACCAATTTATTTGAAAAACCTGTATTCTTTCTCCCAATTTCCTTCTCTCAATTTTCAACTTACTCTAGCTAACTGCCTCTCTATGCCCATTCATTACTCAATATCAGCAGTTATTCTGTTATTAACAGAATTGAATTCTGATCCTCTGCTGAATACAAGTAATAACTAACACGAATTCTTCCTAACCTAGGCTCTAATAGACATTAATTGCTTGAATAGGAGATTTGTATTCATAGTTTCTGACTCTTACTCCTACTTACATTTAATATCACATTTTCAAGATTTAAGATGTTTACTCTTAGTTGATGGCCCCCACCTATCTTCCGTGAACATGGGTGGAAAAAGAGGTTGCTACTTAGTATTTATGAGGTGTGGAAAAATTGGACATTCCATTGATTAAAGTGATCCAGAGGTAGAAAATGATACATGAGATAAACCAACCCTCCTGGTATTTCATGAGACCGTGATCCTCTCCCAATCTTCCGAGTGAACCCCAACCTTTCATGATCTCGTTTCATGCCCCTTGTCTCCTATCTGACAGAAATACTCACCTACTATAAGTAGCAATCAGCTGGAGAGTGGATCCTACCATAGATTGTCTTAAAAGGGGTGAGCTTGATAGAACCATTATAATTGGCATTAAACCAAAACTCTGACCAATAAGCTATTTTGGCCATTGCTGTAATCTAGAGATAAGTATGCACAAGAGGAACCTCTATGCAGGTTCAGGGCATTCAAAAGACCCTGATCCTCCCAATTGGCCTAGCATACCCCATAAATTTTCTCTTGTCTTGGTAGAACATTATGTGTTTCAGTAAGAAAGACATTTTTTTTTTCCTTTAACAAAGGTTTATCCTTCTATTTCTATCTACAAACTGTGCATCCTGTAATTGATTACATCATTACAGTTAAAAGTGTTATGGAAGAACTCAATTTAATTTTGTTTGTCAAAACACCATGGACTGCTAATATGGTTAGTTGGTTATCTAATCTTAAATGAAGGGATCTAGATGTTTTAGAATTCTATAAACTAGGAAGTTTATGTATATCTGCAGCACTCGTTAATTGTTGCACGGCTAATATGCCATAGCCGGTGCTCATATAGACCTGGTCTGAGAATTTGGCAAGATATTGACTTTTTCCCTTGATATTGTTGAATCAAAATTGGCCTTTACTAAATTCAGCTACATCACTCCAAGATTGCTCATTTTTTAATCTTTATTTGTGCTGACTGGCATGTTTTATCGCTTTTATGTTCTCTGATGACATAGCATGAAAGAAATTCTTTTGCTTTCCTCAGAGAGGGAGGAAGCTCTTGCATTCTCATTTATTTTTTAAATCACTGTTTTGAGTTAAACATGGGTTTTACTGGTTTTGTGTGCTGTGTCAGTTAATGAACATACAATGCTTTCTCCATCATTCTAGGCTCGAAAAAAAAAGAAGAGAGACTTTGTGATGACATAGCATGAAAGAAATTCTTTTGCTTTCCATTTTTTGCTTTCCTCATAGAGGGAGGAAGCTCTTGCATTCTCATTTATTTTTTAAATCACTTTTTTGAGTTAATCATGGGTTTTACTGGTTTGCACTTTATGTGTGCTGTGTCAGTTAATGAACATACAATGCTTTCTCCATCATTCTAGGCTCGAAGAAAAGAAGAGAGACTTTGTGAAGCTCTGAAAAAGATTGAGCCTGGAGAATCTTCAGAAGCAACCCATGATCCTGAGATATTGACCCCAGAAGAGCACTTCTTCTTCTTAAAAATGGGTCTCAAAAGTAAAAATTATGTGCCAGTTGGAAGACGAGGAATTTACCAAGGTGTAATTCTGAACATGCATCTGCATTGGAAAAAACATCAGACTTTGAAAGTGGTTGTGAAGACTTTTTCAGCAGAGGAGGTTAAGGAGATTGCTGCTGAGCTGGCAAGATTGACCGGAGGTATAGTGCTTGACATTCATGAAGAAAATACAATAATAATGTATAGAGGGAAAAACTACTATCAACCACCAACAGAGATTATGTCTCCACGAGTCTCTCTCTCAAGAAAGAAGGTACTGTATCATGTATTCAAGTATTAGTCATTTATGAATTATGAAATACACAATAGATTTGGAGTTTAACTGGGTGTGGCATTTTAAAATTTCTTCCACAGTTCTAGGTCTTCGTTGTCCAGAATCTTTTGAAACTTTCTCCTACATAATGCTTCACTAGCAGAACCACTGCTACGTCTAAAATTCTGCATTTGTAGTCCATGGATGTGTATTTGCAATCTCCTGTTCATGCTACTTGTCTATTTAAAAAAAAATGCTTTCAGAAAATTTACACTCTTGTCATAGTGTTTACTTTAATTTATAACTCTTTTGTGCCTTGTTGGTGCTGGTTCTCACTGTATATCCTCGGGTGTTGTCATCTTATGCAGGCATTGGATAAATCCAAATATAGGGATGCCCTCCGAGCTGTGAGGAGATACATTCCAAGACTTGAGCAAGAGCTTGAAATTCTTCGAGCACAACAATTTAAAAGCACGGCTGAAAATAATACAGATGCTGTTAAGGCAATCCAAAACATTGACAAAGCGAGTATTGAGTCTGGTATTATTTCAAATTTCCAGCTAGAGAATTCTGATAAATACCGTGAGATAATGAATGATAACATTGAGGGCTCAGAGGTCGAGACAGATATGGACTCCGAATTGGATTCTGATTCTGATAAGTTATCAGATTTATTTGAGACTGATTCAGATACAGAGAATTTCTCTGAGGAGAAACCTCTTTATTTTGACGAGTTTGATAATTTTCCAGAGCAAAGCGATGGAGAAACAATTGATTTTGAGGAGCATCTGCGACAAATGTCTCTGAACTCAAAAACCATGGAAAAAGACGTCGACTTACCTAAGCTGGACGAAGTTGACAAGATTTTCCTGCAGGCTACATCCTTTTTAAAGAAAAAGATAAAATGAAAAATTCGCAAGGGACAAGTGTAATCATTTTATTGGATATAAACCTATAAAATGTAGATTGGGAGAAATCACAATGTACAACAATGAAGAAGTGGCATAGCATTGTGTTCGACTCATTTTTAATACATTTCATCTCTTAATGACAACCACATCTTTCTGATTTCAGGGCCAGATACGACCTTATAGAGTTCATATACTCTAGTTTTGCACGTGAAACAGATAAAATTTAAATTTAACACATGTTTTTGGTTTGAGACCCTTGCATTTAAAAGTTACATGAGATCATGACTATTCTGAGATAAGTGATGCCATGTAGGTGGCGAGGTGGTGAATAAAGTTCTCCCAACAATTTTTATGTTCATACTTATAATGGTCAAATTTCAAATCTTACTTGAGGAAAATCAAGTTGTCAGCTACTCAAACCAGTAGGCAATGATGTCACTATTCCTATTTAATATGCAACTTGGTCTCTTTATGGAGCAAGAAAACTTGAAAAACCGCTACTAGCCATTAGAAATTGTTCCGACTAAATAGAAGGGACATCAAACAATAAGACCAAATTGGGAGAGGCAAAATATGTTAAAATAACAAAGTCCATACCCACAAAACACTAATGTTACCTATAAGCTAAAAATGGAAATCTATATTGCCCGGTGGTGGTGGGATGATGGGAACATGTGGACGAACCATTATAAGCGGGTGATGTCACCAGTGCAGGTGGATGTCTGAACTGTTCTACTTCTAAAAAAAAAAAATTAATCTTATATTTTGTTTTAAATTTAGTAAATAATCGACCATTAAAAGTGCCTAGGATAAATTAAATTTATTAAGATGAACAAACTAAGACACTCAATCGTTTAACTAACTTTGTGAGAAGAAATCTTTTCATCTCATCACATAAGTGGATGTGAAGAAAGACACTGGCTGAAATTATTTTATTAGCTCTCCTTTGATAAAGTTATACTCATCATTATATCCTCCCAAAACTTTTCTACGACAGCAACTGCACACAAATTCATCAAGATAATAATAGCTCTATCAACATTTGGAAAAATCTATGAAAGTGGCACCCATCTATTCAAACTACAATCCATGTTGAAGGCATATCAAATTCAAAGGACCTCACATACTCTGGATTAACACTGTTAATCTCTTCAAAAAACCACCAATCTCCTTCAAAAGAATCGTCTGCTCACTCCAAAACCTCTCACTTGCTGTTTTTTTGGAATGCACCATGATTATCTATCTCCTGTGCCTTGTAATTGGCGCACGATTATCTTTGTACTTCACAATTCTCTACTATAGTCTTCAGAACACAAGACCCTCGGCGGAATATCGGCTGCAGTGTATTGTAATTGAATTGAACTCATCAAATAAAAAGATTGTTTATATAACTTTTGTGAAAACCCTGCATGAAGTCCCATGCTTCCTTCTCATTCATTCCACGCTTAACAAGACGCCAAAGGCATTGCTCATGTTGATTACCCAAATGACAGATATTCTACCTCAACAAAAGATACGCTTGAAGAGCTTCTTTCGACGCACAAGCTATGACTCACCCATGGAAGGCAGGAAAACATTGTAGTTCCTTGTGTGGAGAGAACTCACCCCATTTTCTTACAAAGACAGATGAGAGAAAAGAAGTAATGATTGATATCACTTTGCTAGACTGCCTCTCATAGAACTTGGGAGGCCGTCTTGAAAACAAAAGTATACTCATTAGTCATTACTGAACCCATGTGCAAGCACCATGGTTTTAAATTGCGGTTGCGGTCGCGGTTGCAGTTACTGCGGTTGCGGGTATTGCGGGTATTGCGATGCGGATTGCGGTGTGAGATTATTAATTATTTTCACTAAATATAAAAAATTTATAATTATCAATATATATTTTATTTTTAAGGATTTATACATTTTAATTCCTTTTTTTTTAAATATTCTATTATTTTAATGAATAATTTAATTTATTTTAAAATTATAGTATCAATTTATCGTATTGCGGATGTATTGCGGTACATTGCAGATGTGTTGCGGACGCAACACCGTTACGTTGGGGAAAAATGTGTGATTTCCAGTATCATCGCAATTGCGGTCCGATGTCGTTGCGGACAAGGCTGCAACAGCAATATTGCGGCCGCAACACGTGTTGCGGTCCGCAATTTAAAACCATGGCAAGCACTAAATCCGCATTCTCTTCAAGAACTGCAATAGCGCACGAGTTCATCAACCTCAAGGTGTTTACATCACAACGTTTTTGAAGTTTACAGGCATTGATCTAAACAAGGATGATGTTGGGAAACATGACCTCGTCCACAACTTAATAACACTTGACATACTCATATTTGCTGTTTTCCATCCTGCATGCAAAAGTTTACACATACATTCTATAACAAGTGCAGCAGGGACAAAAGAGTCAATTGAAGATACAGCTTAGCAAGGACACCTGATAGCAGATCCCAATAATCAGGGAGTGAGGAGAGGCACGAGAATCAAAATAACTAACTCTAGGCTGCAAGATTTTGATTGGTCTAGGGTCTAGGATATATATTCCTTTTGTTAAGGAGAGAGAATATGAATGCTTGATTTTGTTTCTTCTCTCTGCATTATATTTCTGCTGATGTTGTTTCTTTATTTACGTATTTGGCTCAATAAAGCTACTAACTATGGTTCATCGTTACCCATTTACTCAGGTTATTCAATATCAATTCACAACAGTATTTATCATTCCAACTTTTGGTGCATTGGTCTGTTAATTAAACTGTTACAATTTGGTGCTTTCATCAACATGGCAAAGAATATTCTCCTTAAAGAACTCACCGCTGACGTTACGCGAATCCTGAAATTAATGGAGACACGGGATAAAGAAAATGTCACTAGATTTGAGACCCCGGAGTCTACAAATACTTTCCAACCGTTTCAAGTGTGAATGTCAAACTGGATTTTCCTTGCTTTGATGGATCCGATGTATTGTAGTGGATCTTCAAGGTAGAGCAATTTTTTTTCATATTACAATACTCCTGATGATCATAGATTGACTATTGCTGCCATGCATTTAGAGAAGGAAGTAGTACCTTGGTATCAAATGATGACTCGTCATGATTCATTTCATTCATGGGTTGCTTTTACTCGAGCCTTAGAATTGGAGTTTGGTCCTTCTCCATATGAGTGTCTGAGGTCTCATTTGTTTAAGCTAACACAAACAAATTTTGTGCATGATTATGTTCAATTCACTACTCTAGCTAATCATGTGCAAGGTATCACCATTGAAGCTTTGTTAGACTGTTTTATTGGAGGATTAAAATCAGATATTAGAAGGGATGTGATTGCTCAATCACCCTAACTTTGATTATTTGTTTCCCTGTCCAAGTTATATGAAGAGAAGTACCTTTCCAAAACCAAACACTATCAAACCTACCCAACAGCCAAAACACAAGCCTACCTATAAGACAAACCATTAAATCCACTAGCTTACCAACTCTCTTTCCTAATCCTACTGCATATCCAGCCACAACAACCATTTAAAATACCAATTAATATAAAGAAAATAACCCCTACTAAGATGCAACTTAGTAGAGAAAAAGACCTTTGTTATACCTATGATGAAAATTTTTCCCCAAGCCATAGGTGCCCCAACAAACAATATTTAATTCTCCATTTATAGGATGAGGATTGTGGAGAATGGTATCTGACCCTCTAGATATCGAGCATAGTACAAAATTGCATTTGTCACAAGAGCATCATTTATCTTATAATGCATTAAAATGAGCCTCAGATTTGGGTAAAATGAAGTTCCAAGGTTCTGACAATGGCATAATAGTACAAGTTTTATTAGACAGTGGCTCGAGTGATAATTTTTTACAACCAAGAATAGCTCATTCTTTGAAGTTGCCTATTGAGCCAAATCCAAATTTTCATGTTTTGGTGGGAAATGGTAATGCCTTAGTTGTTGAGGGGTTGGTCAAGGACTTAGAAGTCAGAATTCAGGGCCATTCATTGACCTTACCAATGTATTTATTACTTGTTACTAGGGTTGACTTAGTGTTGGGGGCTGCATGATTAGCTACGTACTCTTGATCCCCACATTTCAGATTATAGTAATCTTACATTGAAGTTTTACCTGGGAAACCAATTTGTCACCTTGCATGGTGAGCAACCAACCTTACCTGTGCAAGCTCAGTTCAATCATATGAAAAGAATGAATCACACACACGTCATAGTGAGCTATTCACACTGCAATTTCAACAGTCGAACTACCCTCAAGATTAGTGGGTAGATTTACCTACTGATATGGAACTGGAATCGATAGTGTTGTTGCATACTTATAGGGTGGTGTTTTCTGTACCTTTAGGATTGCCTCCTAGTAGGTCACAAAACCATTCTATTCCTCTAATACAAGGATCTAAACTTGTGAAAGTGAGGCCATACAGTTATCCACATAACCAGAAACAAAATATTGAGATTGTGGTACATCATATGTTAAAGTAGGGGATTATTGTCCCTAGCACTAGTCCTTTTTCCTCTCCAATAATTCTTGTCAAGAAGAAATATGGGACTTAGAGATTCTACATTGATTATAAGGCCTTGAATGCTATCACTATTAAGGATAGCTTCCCTATTCTGACTGTTGATGAACTAATTGATGAGCTACATGGGGCAAATTTGTTTTCTAAATTGGACCTGAGATCTAGGTACCACCAGATATTGGTTAATAAAGAGGACAGGTTCAAAACCGCATTTAGAACTCATCAAGGTCATTACAAGTGGACAGTGATGCCATTTGGTCTCACTAATGCGCCTACAACTATTCAAAGCTTGATGAATGAAATTTTCCAAGGCCTGTTGAGGAAATTTGTTCTTTTGTTTTGATGATATTTTAGTATACAAATCTTCATGATTTGCTCATTTACATCATCTTGAGGTCGTGTTGTAGAAATTACAGAAGCATAAACTATTTGCCAAATTGTCTAAATGTTCTTTTGGACTTCAGCAAGTATATTATTTAGGCCATAATGTTTCAGGCCTAGGTGTGGCAATAAACAAGAATAAGGTGCAAGCTGTTCTGGATTGGCCATGTCCAAAAAACTTGAAGCAATTGAGAGGATTTCTTGGCTTTACGATCTATTATAGAAGATTCATCAAGCAATATGCAATGGTGGCTGCTCTTCTCG